TGTGTTTCTACGCCCTTCTCATGTTGCATGCATATGTTTGAGTGTTTATGCACCCTGGGAAGTGAGCTGCATGGGGTCCTCACCCCATGTCCTGGTGACTATGGAGGAGTTAACAGCATCTTGAGCAATTTCCAGCTGCTATTTGCCACAGGGGAAATGTTCTTAATTTTTTTTTTCTATAACAGCCACCTGAATTCAGTCCATTTTCAAACCTAAACTTTTCTGGGCCAGCTTCTTCCCGTGTAGTAAATTTGATTTCTGTTCTGTTCAGTCTTTGAAAGTTCCTACTGAGAGGCAGCCATTTGGACAAAGTCCCAAGTCTCCTTACATAATTTATTTCCCAGTCTCTTGGGTTTTTGAAAAATATAACCTGGAGTTTATAAACTTCAGTGTGATTGTTAACAAGCAGTTTTGGTAAAATATTCCAACACAATTGCCTCGTGAAAGACTAACTCAGCCACTGAAAATTAATTATGAAAAAAAGTAGAGTTTTTCTTTCCCCCTCAAATTGCTGTACATACATTTGGGAGAAATCAAAAATAATGTCTAGAAGCTGTTGAGATGGCCAGCTAGTTACCATAGGACACTCATTATATTACTTGTCAGTTCTAGAAAGCAAAAATTCACCCAATCCCCCAAAATAATGATTTCAAAAGAAGCAAATTCTCACTTATTGTAAGAAGTAAGTTGACTTCCACAGAGATAAGCCAGATACGTCACCAAAGTGAAGAGCAGAAAAATATGGCTTAAATCCAAAGCAAGCAGAAAGCTATATAAGCAGTTCAGGCAGATTGATTGATTGATTGATTACATGCCAACAAGTCATTTTCAACTCTTAGTTACCACATAGATAGATTTTCTCCATGATGCTCTATCCTAACCAGTCTTTCAAGTCTCCCAACAGTGCACTGTAAACTAAGTCCATCCACTTTGCTGTTAGTCATCTCTTCTTTTTCTTTCCACCTTTCCCAGCATTATAACTTTTTCTAGGGAATTGGATATTCATATAATGTGTCCAAAGTAAGATAATTTAGCCTGGTTATTTGTACCTGGAGCGGGAACTCCACAGTTAAAGTTCAATCTGATTGCTTCCTAAATCACATGGTATAAGAAAGGGTAAGACATAGAACAATCAGACTTCCAAGATTTTGTTATTATGGCCTTTCAATTAAGTAATCTGTGAACCTGCTGGAGCTGACCTTTATGCCTTATTGCAAGCAAACAAGCATGCTTTATTGCTGGTTGCTAAATTTTAAAACACTCAACTGAAGCATAAATAAAAAGCATAGCCAAGGACTAGAGTGCATGTCTCATGACAATTTCAAATATTCAGCAATTCAGTAGTTATGTTATGGCACTGTTTGCTTTTTTTATGGTCATGTATAATAATTAGAGGGTAATTATGATTATGAACCATCCATCCAGAGTCAAAGAATATTTGACTCTAAGAAGAAAAATATTGAACTTACTCCTACATTTTCTGAAGGAAAAATCATCACTATTTACTGGGAAATAGAACTGTTCATATTTTATTTTTAAAACAAGTTCTAAGTCTTCAAACAAAGGCTGCCTTTATTGTGTGATCATGCTAAGAACTGCTGTAGGAGGGCTGATACACTTATCAATTCTATCTAGTTCTACTCCTCTGCCAAACAGTAATTAACAATCATGGATATCATCTGCAAACATTTCACAGTATACACTTTGACACAAATTCAAAAGAAAACCCACTGTGGCATTTAATTAGAACTATCATATTTAGGTTGTAGAAATCCTGGTAATTGCTAGATGGTATCAAAGAGTTAGAATGTTCATCTCTTTGTCAACATATAGTGGTGTCTGAACTTTTGTAGCCCAATATTTAATGAACAGTTTGCTTGCTTTACCTCTTAACTGTTTTTTTTAAAAAAGGTAAACAAAACCCCAAACCAATCACAGTGCAAGAAGCAATAACTTTGTTTTCATAAAATAAATATGATTATATTGGGCATAGGAAATCATACTTTAACTCTATATTTAATTTCTTGGCATGCCCCGACTATCTTAGTCATCAACATTTTGATTTAAGAGGGGAGGGCCCATTAATCAATTCATTTGAACACAAATGGAAACCATGATATAATCAAGAACCTAACGGTAGCGGAGGCACCCTGATTCCACAAATTTCTACTCAGTGGAATGAAATAAATGATAGCTTGGTCATTGACTGGGAAGATTTATTTTCAAGTCTCCATTCAGCCCAGAAGCTCACTGGATGATTGGGTCTATTTATCTTCCTCTGTCCACTTTATCAGACACAATTGTTGGTGAAGGGAAAAATTAAGGGAGACATATAGTATATATCTATACCATCTATATCGGTATTAGTATCTGTAGCCTCAATTTCTAGAAGAAAAAAGGGATATCAAAATGTATATAAAACTGACATTGCCTGTTCTATTGTTTTTAAAGAATATGTTATGCTTACTCATCCCTACAATAAAAGCAGAGCGTACAATGTGGTATCTACAAAGCATACTTGAACTCTGATGTTCCCATCATATATAATTCTCTTATGTTAAGTGATACCATATGTAGCTCTTTGTTGATCATTTACTACAACAAGAAGGAAGAATTGTAAACATCTGGATGAACAGCAGGTTAATCTAGAAGGTTTTTAAAGAGTGAATTCTGACATTTTAGTTACTGCCTATTGGCAAAAAGTAATCCTAATGTAAGTACCATGATTATAATATATATATTCATTTTACTTCAGTTAAGCCATTTTGACACATAAAATATTTTTAAAAGAGAAAAATGGACAATTTTAGGAATTTAGAAAGGGTTTTAAGGAATACAGTGAGTGCTTTGGGCTTTTAATGTTCAACTGACCCTCTGAATGTCCTCCTTAGAATCAACGATCAAGCATTCTGATCTGAGAAGATAGATCTCAAGAGCTCTCGTACAAGAAACCAGGAACCCTTTTTTCTATGAATTAGTACTTTACATAGAACAAATGAGCCACCAGCCAATGGATAAGAATTTAGACCCTTGAAATGGCATTGTTCAACAAAGACTATTTCAGTCTCCCACATTGTCACAATCACAAGATGGTTATTCTTAAGCAACGGCACTGAAAAAGGAGAGTGCACTTTGAAACCGCTGAAGAATAATTTATCAAGAGGTTCTACTGGAGCAAGATATTTTTCTTATATTTTTAGTGTGATAAATACTACAGGCATATATACATATTATCAATAATACTTTATGAATTATTCGTTCTAACATTATTATAATCATTATTCTGCTTTGTCTTTTTCAGTTCTATCTTCCCCCAAACACACATTCATACACACATATCTATTTATCTATCTGTTGCTACAAGATATGCAATAACCATCCAGAGTCACTGGGAATCAGGTGGCATATAAATTTAATAAATAAATAAGGCTCATATACTAACCCCCCTCTTTTAACCTCCTTTTCCCAAGAATGCCCAGTTTCGTCTAGTGGTTAAGACACCAGGCTAAAAAACTGGAGACTGTGAGTTCTAGTCCACCTGAGGCATGAGGTGACCTTGGGCCAGCTATTCTGTCTCAGCCCAACTCACCTCATAGGATTGTTGTGTAGAAAATAGAAGTAGGAAGCTATGTTGGATATGTTTGCAGTCTTGAATAATTTGTAAAAATAATAAAAACAGGATACAAATAAATAAATTCAAAGAGCTATTAAAGTTAAATATGCAATTGAAACAAAGGAATTTCCAATATACATTAAGTGAGATACTTGAGCTTAGTCAAGCAAATGAAGACAATCTTACTTTCTGTCCATTCTCAAGATGGAATTATATATTAGTCATAAAATCCTTCCATTAAAGCCACACATTGTAGTACACATTGATGCTCTATGTGAGCCTTATTATTATTTAAAGCAGAGATTGGGCAAATGGGAAAAATAACTGATCGACTATCATACTACCATCTGTATTGCTTCTATCAGTCAGAGAATGAATCATACCATCATACATTCTATCCTGAACATATTTGCAAAAATAATCTTTTAAAAAAAGAATAAAGTCTTTGGATCCAGGGAGCCTTAAATCCCATGGCCTCTCAGTCTTGCTGAAGACTGTTCTTCAGCAAGAACATTCATACCATCATAGTATTCAGCCAAAAGGAAAGAACCATAAAGAACCTTGCTAGCATCAGTTGGTTGACTTGGGACAGCGATTCATAGTTGGATATCATTAGCTTACTGATAATACTCCACCCACTGTCAATAGATTATCTCCCTGTAGCTTCATGTTAATGCTAAATAAGAGCAGGGAGAGTGTAGAACCTGGATAAATTCTACAAAGCATGGGCCTTGTCCAAATTTTTCACCACTATCCTCACCAACTGGAAACAGCTTGAGAGAAAGAAAGAGAACCACTGTAATACTGTACCTCCCACTCTCAATCTTTTGAGGCAATCTAAAAGGATTCCATGATAAATGACAACAAAAGCCTCTGAGAGATCAAGAAGGGCTTGGATGGATGTTCTATGTCCATCTTGAGGTCATCCACAAATATGACCAATGTCATCTCAAGGCTATAACTAGCTCTGAATTCTGACTGAAAATAGTCAAGATAAACTGCTTCATTCAGGACCTCCTGGAGCTGCAAGCCAAACCCTTCTATGAAAATTGTCCAGTTTTGTTAGGTCCACTACTAGCCTCTGAGAAAAAGACAGATAAACTGTTTCAAAGCATTTGGCATCATTCCCTCCCATAATGAAAAAAATGTTCCCAGATTATCTCATGCACCTTTATAAGACCTATACAGTTAGAGTGCAACTTGGAGTGAATCCAAACAACTTTATGTGGAAAATTGATGACAAATTGTGTGCTTTTAAGGGTTCAGGTTCCTGTATTTGATTGTCTTTATGAAAAATACATTCTCAAATGACAAGATATTGACATGATGTATTTCATATATCATACATCATTTATCATTCAAGATTATTTTACATTTCGTGAACTACCTGGGCAATTTACAGGGTCATTCCATGGAATTTCTCTTCTAAAGGATACAGCAGATAGAGGATAAACAGAAAGTTGCCATCAAGTAAAATAGGTTATCTGAAATTGAAAGAAACTCTGTATTAGGAAAATTTAAATGACAGCATCGTAACTTTTTAAAACTATTCATTTTTCCAATGGCACATATTCAGTGCAAGCTAGACATTGCTAGACATGACAGAAATTTATTGATTTTCCTTTCCTGTGTTTATATACTCATATAGATAAACACTGTAATCACAAAGCAATGTAAGACTGCCACTTCCTCTGTACAAATAAAAGCTTTAAAAATACTTCTGCGATCTCCTCTGTGAGATATTATAATCAGCTGAATTGCAAATTTTTGGTGTCCTCAGATTGCAACCCCAGTATATTAATCTTTGTATCAAGCCTATGATGTTATTAAAACAGAAGTTTTCATGGGAACTTGAAGAGAACTAAAAAGATGATTGCAGCTTAGTTTAATGTTTAATGACCAGTTCAGAGCAAACAAATCATTCTTTAAAATTAGTACATAGATATCTTGAGTCAATCTAACATTTATCCAGATATTTTAAATTATGGAACAACAAGATTTTAGTACAATTGTATATGCTAGTGTAATCCCAAACACTGGAGAAAAATATCTCATTTTTTCCAAAGCCAGTCCTATCCATTGGATGGCCCCAGACATTTAAATAGTAGTTTCGCTACTATTGTTTCCATTTATAGCAATTGTATAGCAATTTGCACAGAACGTGCAAATTTATGCACACTGACTAAATTTGGATTTAATAGACATTTGGATTTAATGAACCATTCCTTCCGCCCAAATGATCCCTTAAATTAAAGCTTTACTGTACTTAAAATATACTTTTATTGGTTTAATACTCATATTAGAATGGTAGAATGGGGGGAGGTGAAGAAGAGAAAAACTTGAATAGATGCAAGTCCAAATTTTATTTTTTTTAAAAAAACATATAAATACAAATGTTGTTAAACACAAATATATGCAATTTGCATCAATTTATCTAATTGCTTAAACATATAGTTGATGTATATACTGTCATTTATTGCAAATGCTTCAATGAATTTTTCAATGTCAAGTAGCTAACAAAGGAAAGGGTTAATTATGTTTCAGGTTATATAAAACTTGGAGGATAAGTACGGACACTAAGGCTATGAGGAATATTTGCCACACATTGTTGAATAGTTTTTTCTTTAATTTCTTCAAATGCATTTACCTTTATATAGAGTTTCTAGAGTTAAATTATACTGAAACAAACAATGCTTACAAAATAAAGTAAATGTTCCAGATGTTCAAAGCACTGTCAAAAGTATCATTTACATAAAAAAATCCAGCTGTCCTATAAAGCAAAAACAGGTTGCAGTCTTCAAACACTGTGAAGGCAAATACACAGCACTCTGTAAAAAAAAAAAAAATGTTTTCTACACATTTTTAAACATGTGACTTCTACACATTTTTGGCCAAAGTATAGAAATGGATTTTCATTGCCATCTTCAGGATGATTTTTCAAACTTTAAACCTAGCTTACATCCCTGATGTTTCTTGGTTGTCTCTATTCATATGCTAAGCTGCCTGACATGCAAAGGAAAACCATTAATCAACTCCAACCTTCCTTTCCCTTTATTGTCTCTTTGGGATCCTGCTTGGTTAGTCCTTGTCTCCTTCTTTGTCCTCCATTTTTCTCAGGTAGACATAGCTGGATTAGCAATACTTCTGACTCAGGGCAGATACCCTTATAAAAATTGAGAATCCTTCCTTCCTTCCTTCCTTCCTTCCTTCCTTCCTTCCTTCCTTCCTTCCTTCCTTCCTTCCTTCCTTCCTTCCTTCCTACCTTCCTTCTTTCCTTCCTTCCCTTCCTTCACCTCCCTCTTTGTCCCTCCTTCCCTCCCTCTCTCCCCTTGTCCCTTCCTTCCTTCCTTCCTTCCTTCCTTCCTTCCTTCCTTCCTTCTTTCCTTGCTTCCTTCCTTCCCTCCTTCCTTCACTGCGACTATGCAAAACATGTGGGTGAATGTTGTTTCTTTGAACCTCTTGTTTTCTTTCCCATGATGGGAAACATTAATGATATATAATTACACCTCTCCTTTTTTTTGCTTAGCAAGCAAGCTTCCCATTTCAGTTCAGCTCTGAACTTCACATTTTGTTGCCTTGGGAAGAAGCCTTACAGTGTATTTAGTTTCTGTTTTTATTTCTCTGGTTTCTTCATATCTAGTTACATGTTGTGCTAAAAAGAATCACCTTTTGAAATCCTACTTCCCTCACCCTTCTTTGAACTTGCTCTCCATCCTCCTTGGTTTCAATGAATTTCCCATTGTTTGTGATTTCCCTATTGCTCCCTCTTTTTCCCAGTCTTGCTCCCTGTTTGGCCTTTCCATTTTCCTTTCAGTCTAATACAATAGTGCTGTATTATTTTGTATAAGTGTCACTTAGCATTATTAGAATGTTTTAGATTAAGAGCAGGCTGTTAGCATGTATCTCATTAGCAGCACTCTTTGATAATTTGTGTTTGATCTATTATTGATTAATTGATTTCTGAATGAATAAATCTGTCCATCCTCTGCAGAACTGCCACTGCAGGAGGGTTACAATTTGGAATAACAGGAATACGTAAAGGATTAACATACCATCAATGCCTTATAATAGTGGAAACATTTGGCATCAATTTTACAATGGGTGAGCTAATGCTTTTTTGAAAATTGCTTCTAAGTGTATTTTTTATCTGAATTCCAGATAAAATTATAAAAATAAGCTCTTTTCAAGCCTTTCTTGAAAAAGAATTAGAGACTTCTGAAAGAATAGTCAAATAACATTGGGTCATCAAATTTCTTTGTATTGCATTTAGAATAGATTGCAGTGTTAAAGTGAGCCTTAGATGTTTAATTTTATCTGCACTTATTCTAGATACATTTCACTGACACGATTCGGAGGGTAAATTGTTCCTTATTATTTTTCTTTGTTATATTTTCCCTGTTAGAACAAGGGACAAACTTTTTTATGCCAAAGACTTCATTCTGAAAAACAGGGCAGGCTAGGACCAAAATTAAAGTAATTATATTTGAGTGAATAAAATACAGTTAAGATTGCTCCTTGGGTTTCTCATAATGTCCTTTTCACTCACAATAAATATTACAATTTGGTGGTATCATTTGAGGGGCCATAGAGTTCTGTGAGTTATCACAGGTTGGAGGATCATCTAGCAAAAAATTTTAATATGGCATTTTTATATAGACATAAATGACTTTGAGAATGAGAGTTTGCCCACTTATATAAACATATGATTGTTGTTGAAAAGAAACTGAAAAATTGACTCTTATATAATTCAAAAAAGAGACTATTTATAGTTCAGAGTTGAAATGAGATGTCCTTGGTGCACTTTGAGCTTGCTTGTTTTCTTGCAGACATTTCATTACCCAAAGTAGGTAACATTATCAGTGCTGATGATGTTACCTGCTTTGGGTAATGAAACGTCTGCAAGAAAACAAGCAAGCTCAGAGCACACCAAGGACCCCTCATAATTCAAAGAAACATTCTATTTAATACAGCCTGAATATTGGAATGAGAAACTGAAACAGGAATTGCATTAGGTTTCAGATGAAATTTTACTCCCATAAAAAGCATTCAATCTCTCAAAAGGCAGTTAGAATCTCATAATATATAAACATCTACACTTAGAAAGAAACAAAATATAATAACTTTAAACAATGGCATACACATTTGGAAGAATACCACATCTACTACAGTAACTGCCACATGAACTAATACACGGTTTTTGGTAGCCATGTGTAAGAAATTTGCTAGCAGAATATGAATTAGAATTCCCAGTTACTACTGAGAAGAAATACATAGCCTTACACATGAAAAGAGCACTTTCTAATCAGAATTACAAATCAGATCATGTAATCAGAATTGGAATAAAATTTTTACAGCAATTATTTCTCCCATCTTATTGATATTTATGGGGCAATTTAAGCAGCAAGTGGGAATGAGCAATGGTTTTTGATAAAAATCACCATCTTGATTTCTGATTAAAGAACACCACTTTGTTCACAGAACCTCTGCCTATTTAAACATTTTTGAAAGCTTGTCTTGTCTGTATCAACTAGCTAAGTGAGAGGTGTTTCAGTATAGTCCTAGCCCTTTTCTTTCTACCTCTGTCTTTAATTGAAAGATCTAGATCAGATATAACAAGTTAATAGAAACAAATCAAAGGAGCAGAAAATTCCCATTCAAGCACCTTCTTCACTATAGTTTTCATTTTCAAAAAATTTACAGCCTTGTTGCCCTGAGTGCTGTTAAAATAGATTTCAGTGTTGCTAAGATTTCAATTTTAGCTTCTGAAATCTGATGGGAGAAAACTATGAATCCTGAAGCTAACAATGTAAGCCACTCAGAGCAATGTTCACTCTAATTTCAGACATGCTGTGTAAAAAAACAACTCAAAATAAACTGGTGTGCCAAAATATAAGTATATCAGTAAATTGCAAGCACAAGCAGTAACAGTAGGTTAAAATATGTACATATTCCATATTTATAGGAGCTATCAAATATATTACTATGTCAGATGCAGGCTTAAAACTTTTGCCTTCAAATCATTTTTGATTCCTAGCAATTGCCTCTGCAGTTTTTAGCTTGCCATTACCTTCTTCCTGAGGCTGAGAGAGAATAACTGGCTCAAAGTCACCCGAGGTGGGGCATGAGCTCATGGTCTCCAGATTTCTAGCGTGGTGCCTTGCCATGATACCAAACTGCCTCTATATATCCATTCTTAAAGATTACAATATAAACTCACTAGTCACTGATAACTGATAATTATTTTATATGCATTTAAATTGTTCATTTTCTTTTTATTTATTTATTTATTTATATTTATTTATTTATTTATTTATTTATTTATGAGACTTATATACTGCTTTAAGTGCAAGCACTCTCTAAGCGGTGTACACCAGTAAGCAATATATATATATATATATATATATATATGATATATATATATATATATATATATATATATATATATATTTACATTGCCCCCAACAATCTGGGTCCCCATTTTACC